CAGGAACTATCAGAAGCAAATGATTAAATTTAAAAATCTGTGTTGTGTACCAAGAAGTTTACGAAAAGATATGTTAAGCAGAATTCATTATGGTCATTTAGGAGTAGTAAATGCAAGATTAAAAAAAGAGAAAAATGTATATTGGCCAGGAATGTCCAAAGAAGAAATTGAAGATTTGGTACTGAATTGCAAACATGTTTAAGTTTACAAAAGCTAATACTAAAAAACCAATGATATCTAAAGAAATACCTAAGGTCCATGGGAAGTATTGGGAACAGACCTTTTACTTCAAGGAAGGGATTATTTAATAGTTATAGATTATTTTAGCAAATATATTGAAATTGGACATTGGAAGATTTGTCAAGTGTAGCAGTGATAAAGCAATGAATCAATTTTTGCAAGGACATGGTATTCCGAAAGTAGTATATTCGGATAATGGTCCACAATATAATTGCAGGAAAATAAAGATTTTGCAAGAAGATGGAATTTTGAAACCAGAACTTCAAGTCCAAATTACCCACAATCTAATCGAATGGTTGAAAGACATATTCAAACTGTCAAGCGAATGTTAGAAAAAGCTGTAGTTGAAACAGGGATCCATATTTAGTATTACTGGAATATCGTAACTCTCCTATTCAGATGCAATTAAGTCACCTTCAGAATTAATGTTTGGAAGAAAAGTAAATGGATTGATGCCTATAAAAGAGAATTTCGTCCAAGCTAAAACGATATGAAGACCATAACAACGTTTACTGAAGAGACAAACCTTACAAAAAAAAGTTATTATGATAGGAATGCAAGACCGTTAAAACTGAAAACGGAGATCATGTTTACATAAAAGAGAAAGAAAAAAAAAACTAAATGAAAAAAGGGAAAATTATAGAAGAAGCAGAAGGACCACGTTCATATAGGATTATAAGAACAGATGGAAGAATGTAGAAAGGACAGAAGAGACCTCTTAAAGGAACTAATCAGGGAAGAGTTTTGCAATACAAAAAAAACTATGAGAATGAAGTTATAGATGAACCCGAGATACATGAAAATAGTAGGAGCACTACAAATTTAGATGTGTGCCTTAAGTCTTCAAAATCTAACAGAAGTGTTGTGTCACCAAATAGTGAAAGAGATATAGTATCATCAAATTTTTCAAATGGACATAACTACGTCACTCGATCTGGTAGGACTGTTAAGGAACCTTATTATTTAAAAGAATATGTTAATTTACTACTATTATATTTTTATAAAAAAAGGAAGAGTATATATGTAACTGTAACTGTATCTATTATTATCTTTAACTGTAATATAGTAAAGTAGATGAGTAATGTAGAATAAACGATGTTTGTGTACATCTTGTAATCATCACTGAGCACGTACCCAACACATATAAAATACAACACATATCCATGGCTCTTGGAAAATCCATCGGAGTTTCCAGGAAACTTAATTCACTTGTTAACACCTCGTCCGACGCAAGATACGTATTTACACCTGCATTCTAAAACCTATCCTCACATAGCCTTCCCTGCCTGGAGCACAGCCTCCAACACTGATATAAACTAACTCTAAGATTTCCAGAACAGTTATCTGTGTAAAATCAGAGAAGCGCCTTGGTTCGTTCGTAATGAAAAACTTCACAGAGATCTCAACTTTCAAAATCTGGCCACCTTCATAAACAAACTTTATAGTAACTTCTACATTAAAGCAGAATCCAGTGAAGACGTTAACTACTCGGACAATTTTAAATATGAACTTCTTGCAATAGACATAAATTTAGGACCTTATAATAATAAGTGGCGAAATATACGCCACTAATTATTTTAGGAACCTGGCATAATATTCAAAACAGCTTTTCATAACTTTCCCTACAAACTGAAGCAGCAATCCAGGACAAGCAGCCCAGATGAATGACCACACACGTGACTAATCCCCACGAATCAGAATCTGCATTTCCGAAGTTACTCTCGCTGTCCTAGCCACCGAATGTTCCTGAATCGTACCGCCCTATAAGTCTATTACTATTCTTCAGCAAGATCACGGAGGCTTTTATCCTGAAAAGAATCAACCAGCATATGGAGCTAAACAACATCCTGATACCTCACCAATGGCCGATGCTATTCGCACCACCGGTACGATTAGCCGCTTAAGCTATTCGCACCAACATCAAACACGCATGCGCTTTGAGTTGTTAGATCCGTCAATTGAACTCCATCGAAAGGAACGGATTCTACGTACGCGAACTCTTGCAGTGAATCTTTTTTTTTTTTTTTTTTTTTTTAAAGGTGGGTTTCTACCTTGGCGTAGTTTATCAATTTTAAGCGTTGGCGACTTTCAAAAAGTTTAGAAAGGAAAATGGGTTCCTTTTTCTTATAAAAAAAAGAAGGAACACATTTCCTTTCATTAATGTTAATTATAAAAAAGGGGTAGATTTTTATGTTCGCAATGTTTTATCCTTTTCCTGAACGGTTTGAATAGTTTAAATGTCTGATTTGGGGGGGGGGAGATAAAATCTTGTTTACATTTTTGTACTTCTTAGAATACATTTAGCTTTAAAGAGTGTTTTGCACAATCAAGACTTTAATCATTTCTCTTTGAAAAAATTTCGAACCGAAAAAGATGCTTAAAAAATTAGACAGAGGATTTCTGTGTAGAAATTAGACATGATATAAGTTAAAGCGATTTATCAACTATTAAAAATATTCTGTATGCCTGCTATTTTTTTTATGGAAAATACTTGGACATTTTCAGGCACAAAAAGTGCTTTCAAAGAACTTTGAAATATTTGTACAAACATATTAATCAATTAAATTGAAATAAATAATGGGATGTAATTTAAAAGAGAGAAATAATTTAATGTAAGAGATTTAGATTTAAAAATTTGCACACACAAATGATTTATCAGATTTCATAAGGTTATATTTCATAAATAACTTTGATTTTGAAATATGGCATTAGAACCTATAAACCTGTGTGGATACTGAGAAAGTGATGAATATATAAGAATATTATCATTTTAGTAAGTTTTCTTATTGAATAATAAATTCTGACAGTCTGCTGTAAAAATAGGGTCTAAGTTTGCATAAAAATTCCTCTGTTAAATAAAAGAATTTAGGTAATTTCTGTAGCCTTTTTGTCAATACACTAAAGATTTTTTAAACTAATTACTCGTCCTCGCTTGCAATTAGAACCATCATTAAATCCCTATTTTATCTAATAATTTCTGAACATTATCAGTATATAGATTGACCTCGTCTTTGTAACTGATAATTATTACTTGCAAATTATTCTCTTGCTGGTGAATTATTAACAACATTCGCTCTCACTACCGCCTGTCTTACGGAAATCGGCGTAAAATGCTGGTACCTGGGGTGATTTTGCGCATGCGCGAAAATAGGTGGTGTGAATAGCCTGTTAGCTATTCGCAGCGTCGGTGCGATTAGCCACTGCGCCTCACCAATTTGGGTTTCGAAGCCAGCACTATACGACTTAACCAACTTTATAGAGTGGTTGATATGATAAGTGAGGGAATGCAATGAAAGATGATTACTGGAGGCATGTTCCTGGACATTGCCAAGGCTTTCGAACGTGTGTAGCTGGATGCTCTAGTATACAAGTTACACAAACTGGGTTTCTCGGGATACATCACTAACATAATTAAATCCTACCTGACCGGTAGACACTTTGCCATTCAAGTAACAGGAATGCTCTCCACTCGCAGACCCATCCAGGTTAACGTCCCCTGGTGGTCCCTTCTTGAACCTAGACCTTTCAATATATACGTTAACGACACTGCCATTACACACAACACGATACTCGCAATGTATGCTGATGACACTGCGATCCTCTCTCAAAGTGCATTTGTTAGTCCAGCTATACAACGCCTACAAGATTGCATACATACACTTGAGACTTGTCTGACCATGTGGAAGATCAAAGTCAACGTCGATAAGACACAAGCTATACTCTTCGCGAAGAAAATAAGTTCAAACAGAACCTGCAGCTATATGGTTTATCTCTTCCCTGGGCCAATCAATATATACGTTATTTGGGTTATTTGGTAACTTGGGCTGATCCTCAGTAAAACTCTTTTATGGTACCCACTTAATACATCTATCATTAAAAAGTTTCGAGTAGGTAAATGCTCACTCTTCCCCTTAATTGCTCTAAACAGTGCACTTCTTATAGACAACAATTTACTTATTTATAAATCTCTGTTTCGTCTCCTACTTTGTTATGCCTGCCCGGTTTTGGGCGTACTCTTGCAAATCTGCCAGAAAAAGCTACAAACTGCCCAGAATTGTGCACTGCGGCAGATTACTGATTCTCCGTGGTACGTGAGAAATCTAAAATTACATGAGGAATTTCGCATAGAGCAGCTTAAGTCATTCTCTTGTTGCACTGCTCTTAAATTCTTTAATGATCAAACGCGAATTAATAAACCTGCCAGCAGGATATATGATTCTGATGTAAACGACCCTTCGTATAGTAAAAGACCAGTGGCCATACTTGGCAACTTACCAGATTAATGTACCTGTATACCTTAATTGACTTTTGTATTTGTAGTAACTTCACTTATTTATTTAATAGTTTTTGGTATTTATATCATGCATATGTATTATCTTCGCTGATTTTCATATCGCACCGCTGGGTTCACACTTGCTTAATAAGTGGTATATATACACACATGTGTGTTATTTCACAAGTTATCACCAGCGCGAAGGCTAATTTCGTAAATTTGCAGATTGCTTTTCACAACTCCTGAGATCTTTGCACGACCTACCTGATTATTAATTTAATTATCGATCAACTTTAGACTCTCTTAAAATTATTTAAAACAATTAAGTATGCCATGTAAACACGGGGTTATATATACATTTCTTGAACTTATTATGTACAACCTTGTGACAAGCCATTCGTAAACTATACTATTATTCGATATGAGGTAGGGTCTTGGACCCAGGCACCCTTGTGCTACACCAAAATTTTCTCTCCGTGCAAATCGTAAAATTACTTTTCTCACAACGATGAATTTGTGTTATTCAGATTGCAAACAACTAAACTTAGAATTTGAGAATTTAGTAAATAAAGATGGCACAAGATTGCAAAAACAAGGAATACGCGCAAAGAGATAAACATTATGCGAGTGAGAATTTTAAATCCAAAATGAAACGCGATAAAACATTTCAAACAAAGGTATTTCTGTATTTTTCTCATTTAAACAATGCTGGTTATTTGCCAAATGTTGTGAATTATTTTTTTTGTGCATACCTATTATTTTTATTATTCATTTTTTGTTTGAATTTAGGTTGTGATCAGACGTCTTCCACCAACTATGATCCAGGAACAGTTTATAGAACAGATCGCACCTCTTCCTGAGCATGATTATATGTATTTTGTGAAAGCTGATATGCGGTATTTTTATATATTAGTTTTGTTAATAATTTTGATAAATTAAACTTGAGTTTTCAGATCTCCTTTATATCAACGGACATGTAGCAACTGACATGTCCTACCATGTCCGTTGATGTAATTCAGAGGAGACGCTGTTTCAGCCCTCTTTCAGAAATCGAGTCACTAAAAAACGTTCTTGACAAATTGTTTGCGAAAATTATATCTTCATGAAAGAATAATATACAAATCAAAATGTTTCGCCATTGTTTTTTCATCAACTTACATGGATTAGAGTAGACTGAAGGGTAAAATCCTAGTATACGGTGCAGCCTTGGCGCGATTTTGAAAATTATCGCCAACACCAAAAATGATCCAAAGAACGTCTATATACTATACATATGTGTGTAAAATACATGGAAAGTTTACAATTGGGTGCCCCTGTTTTTTAGATTCTTTTTGACGGCAGATCGCGTCAGGAAGGCACCTTTCAAGATGGCCGCTACACAAAACCAAATAAAAAGTCAAGAATTGCATAAACTGTGTCCATGTACACTCGATCTGTTTTCACTTAAAAAAAAATCCCAGAATTGCACAAACTAGGCATTGCGCACTGTTAAATTTGTCCAGTACACATCAATCTATTTTTATTTTAAAAGATCAGGATGCTAAAGCAAAGTTACACTATCATGGTAACCAGAAATACGATTTCATCGCCAAAATTTTACAAAAAATTGTCGCTAATCGAAGGGGCACCCAGTTCTACGCTAGAGCCAAATACATAATATATACTATATATAACTATATATATTCTTTGAATGACGCGTTTACTACTCATCGTTTATGTCCCGTTTTTACTGCTCATCATAAAGTCACCAAAAGCAGCCAAATCCCGTGTGCACCGGATACTAGGATTAAACCGACTGAAGGGTACCCCTTGTATTATAGCGAAGTTGTTTCATTTATTGCCTAGTTGTTTTGTTTATCGCCAAGTTGTTTCATTTATGGTAACCTGAGTAGTTGAATGTTCCGTAAATATACTTTTACTTTGGCCAAGTTCTATGTCCAAATATCAGTCTGAGAAGAGTTTGGCTAATCTTTGGAATATGGTAAAAGGTAGTTTGGCGACATTTTGGTAAGGCGATAAAGGTTACTAGCTAGGAGTTTAGCAGTGTACATGGATAAAGTCAGAAAGAGTGTGCACAATGCCACTTTTGTGCAATTCTGGTATGTTTTTTTAAGTGAAAATAGGTCGACGTGTACATGGTTATTGTGCAATTCTTAAAAACCCAGCAAGCAGTTCGCGATTCTGCCTTTTCTCCCAATTTCGCACCTAATCTTCGTGATGATTAAGTACTTTTGTTCCATAAAAGCTCTAGCATATGCATAATTCGGCTAGCGGATTGTTGGAAAAAAATGCTGAGAAAAAAAAAAAGCATGCCTTTACTTTGTGAAAACAAAATGGCATTCAAACGAAAACTAGCAGGTTGCTGTAGCAGGGTTGGTCGCCAAAAAATCGCTGAGTTATCATAATCCAAAGATTAACCAGGAGTTTTTGAAGAGGACTTTATATCATAAGTCACATAAATATTCTGATGTATTGGAAATGTAAACTTAATTATTGTTGATTTTTAAAATGTGTTTTATTAAGTATATTTGTGATTTATAATCTTTTCCTAAAGGAAATTTACGTAAGTTAATTATTTCTATACCAGTACCTTATTTAAAATGCAATATCTAATGTATAATAGATTTATTGGTATTGTTCTGTTATAGGGACTGGATTCAGAAATGTATGAATGTGTGTTTGAACTTGTGGTACAACTCTAATATACGCCCTAATTTCACCAAATGTGGCGATATGTGTTCTGCGCTGGTTTTGGGCGCGATTGCGTGTTCTATGGCAACCCTGTTGACGTTGAAAAATCTTTCGCTGGAGCTCGTTGGTTCGCCTCTGTGTCTGAGAAGATGGAAGGGAAAGATAAAATGGTAGTTGTTGAATTGAAGTTCGGCAAAAGGAAATACGATTGTGGCTATCCTGTTGAGGGGTAGTGGGTTATTGGAAGTGTGGAAAGGGTCTGAAGATTATGTTTAATGGCAGTGCATGATAGAAGTAGGGATTTGTGATTTATTTATTTGTGAACCATAGTATAAATTTCTGGATAGTGTGTCTGCTGTCATGTAAATCGAAGTGATTACGTGGCGGCATGATAAAGGCGTATGAAATTTATATTCTGCTATTCGAAAACGCATTAATTCATGGTAGTGCATTTTATTTTATTCTTGTTCTTATTTTGTAGAATGTTATTCATTGTTCTTTAGTATGAAATTTCTGCGTTATTGTTGTTTTTTTTAAATTGTTTGAAATTTATTTTAGTTTTTTGTTGTTTAGTGTATCTGTACATTCGTAGATGTTTTTTAAAGTTGAAACAGAATCTGTGTACATGGTATTATTTGAAATTTATTGTTATATGTATTTTATTAAAGCGAGGAGTGCGTAGATCGTAGATTCCTTCCTTGCCTAATTGGCAATTCGTAGAATTTTTTAAGTTTAAACAGGATTCTGTGTACATGGTATTCTTTGAAATTTATTGTTGTTATGTTATTTTATTAAAGCGAGGTGTGCGTAGTTTGTAGATTCGTTCGTTGCCTACATTGTGCCAATTCGTAGATGTTTTTTTAACTTAAAACATGTCGCTGTGTACATGGATTCTTGTCAAATATTTTTGGTTAGAAACTTACTTTTTGCTATCTAAATTTTTTTTTTTTTGTTTCGGATTTTTAGCTAAATTGTGTGTTCAAAACGTTTTTGCATGTGCAAAAACCGCGTTTTTGGAGACATTTTAGGCTAAAAGTTCAAAATGTAGACAAAAAATTTAGATAGTAATATAGCAGTGTGAAGTTTCTCGCCAAAAATATTTGGCGAGAAATTTGGCGACTTGAGGGCACATATCAGAGTAGTTCCGAACTTGTATGTATGGGTGTATATGTTTATATGTATACACACACGTGCATTTGTATTTATATATTATATATATTTATATGTATATACATTTATACTTATGTATTATGTACATGTATACATACATACATTTCTGAACCTGGTCCTGATAACAGAACAGTACCAATAAATCTATTATACATTAGATATTGCATTTTAAGTAAGGTACTGGTATAGAAATAATAGTACAGAACAGAACAATAATGATTTATGTTTGATTTTGGTACTTACGTATTAACGCAACCAGGCCAAAATTTGCATAAATTGCCAAATTTGGTGACCCTACTTACGGCAACCCTACGTGTTATACGTAGTTTTTGAAAAAGAGCATGTGGAGATTCACAAAATTTTCATGCATTTTCGTGCAAATTTTTGTAATTTATGAGAAAGTAGCAGTGTACATGAATAAAGTCAAGAGTGTGCGCAATGCCATTTTTGTGCAATTCTGGGATTTTTTTTAAGTAAAAGTAAGTCGACGTGTACATAGTTATGGCGAATACGGTTTTCAATCAGTGCTAAAAGCAATAGCCAAAAGATTTCCGCCGAAAAAATAATTCTGCAACTTATTCAAATTCGAAACCGGAAGGGTTTAATTGCTATTTTATATTTTAAAACAAAATAATATAAAAAACTGTATTAAAAATTATCGGTAATTAATAAATGTACATTTTCTTTCTATTCATACTTTTTTACTCAAACTTACAAATAGCTCCAACCTGGTTGCAATAATACGCAAGTACCTTGATTTTTCAGTTTCTAACATTCCTCCCTTTTTTTTTCTTTTTTCAGTATGGCTGAAATCTTTAAGTAATTTTTAGGCAATCCTTGATTTTTTTTTTTTTTTTTTTTGCTTGGAAAAAAATATACGAGCCCTGCTACAAATTATAAAGATGAACTAAATTAAAAGTTATAAAGAAATAATGATTAAATGATGATTATGAATTTAATAGTAATTTAGGACCTAAGACTGTATAACTACTGTGCAATGAATTTTTTTTTAATAATTTAAAGTATTAAAATTAATTACATTCTAGTGTAAAGTATTTTTAATGACTTTCAATAATTTCATGACATTTTGATGTGCAAAATTAGTGACAAAAAAACTGGCTAGAACATTTCCAGCTTTGTTCTCCAGCTGCAAAAAATCGAGTTATTTTTATGTTGATGTCTTCATAAAATTTAACAAACTTCTGAGAACTTAGTGACTTTTTATCATGTAAAACTTCTTCATAACAAACTTAATAATTTTTCTATTACTTGTAGCTAGAATTCATTCCTCATTATGGTTAGTGTTTACAATTTTGGTGAAAGTTTACAATTGGGTGTCCCCCCTTTTGTTTTTGCGATTCTTTTTTGACGCCAAGATCGGCGCCAGGAGGGCACAATTTCAAAATGGCTGCTATAGAAAACCAAAATAAGTCAAAGAATTACACAAGTTCTGTGTCCATGTACACATCGATATGTTTTAACTTGAAAAAACATCCCAGAATTGCACAAACTAGGCATTGCGCACTGCCTTAAGTTTGCCCATGTACACATCAATCTATTTTCATTAAAAAAAAAATCAGGAAGCTAAAACAAAGTTAAAACTAACATGGTAACCAGAAATGAGGTTTCATCACCAAAATTTAAAAAAAAATTGTTGCTAATCGAAGGAGCATTCAATTCTACACTAGAGTCAAAATGTTTAACCCTCTGGCTGCTCATCCTGTGATTTCCAAGGGCAATTCAAATGTAGCAAAATCTGCTCATCCTGTGATTTCCGTGGGCATATGTTTTTCTTCCTTTATTGAGGAGCGCATCCTGTTTTTCCCCGTTTAACCATGGAATAAATTATATACAGTATTAGACGTTTAGTTTACGTTTTAGCTAACAGATGTCATTATTTGGCCACTGAATTGTGGCATCTGAAAGCACGTGGTATTACCGCTCAAACTTCACTTTTTGCTGCCTTTTTCTTACAGAAATGTCTGCTAGAAATTGTTTAGCGAGTAACAGAGAATATATTTCTGATGTCTTATCA